ACAGTGTGCATGTGTGGGGCCAGGAGGGAGGCTGGCAGGGGCGGGAAGAACAGAAGGGACGCTCTGGACAGCTTCAGGCCCCGCTGAGCCTGTTACAAAGCTCCGAGAGAACACAGAGCTTCGTGGTTCGCGGCTCAAAAGTAAGCTTCTGCCCAATTTCTTTACACCTTGAAGCAGAAGGTATTAACAGCAGGAGTCAGAGCTTGGAACTGCACCTCACCCCCACTCCTTCCCTTAGCAGACTTGGCCCCTCCCTGCACCTCAGTTTCCCCATGCCGGCTCGGCCTGCCCACGCCAGTATCGTCGTGAGAATCCTGTAAAGCGAATGTCCCCGAACTGCCTCCTACACCACCGAGCCGTACGCGCCTGTGGAGGGCGATTATCGCCGCCACTGGAGCCTCTCCAGGCCCGAGGAAGCTGCATTCCCGCGAGCGTGTGGCTTGGATTGGCTTGACACAACACCGTTTCAAAAGCACTCGGCCACCTGGCACTGTTTTCAGGCACTCAGCTGGGAGATAAGTGACCATAAATCCTCTTCTGGAAGCAGCCAGGCTCCGCGCTCACACACCGAACAGTGGCGCGCACTTCCTCCGACAATCACGTCCTGAGAAGGCAAGTGGGGGAAAAGCCTGGTAGGTGTGTTTGTGCTCTGGCTTCTGGAGGCAGGCGGGCCAAGCCCTGTGAAGTGGTGTCTGTGTCGGGAGACTTCTCCCAGCTCGCCCCACCCCTCCCCCTTCCTGGCTTCTGCAGCCATTTCTTGTCACTGCTGAACAATAGGCCTGGCTAGCAGCTGGCAGCTTGGCCGCCCTGCCCCAGGAAGGGGCGGGAGGGAGGAAGAGAGGGGGCCTCCAGGCAGGCTGTGGGCTGGGGCAGCAGCCTGCTGCCAGGGGCTCCCAGCTCCAGGGACAATGTCAGCCTGCACCCCTCCTCCACCCCGCCCCCCACCCTGGAGGTGCACAGGTCTGCATCATCCCGGAGCCCCCATGGCTAGCAGGGCGGACCCGAGAGCAGTGGTCCTCCTCTGACACCGGAGCTTCTGTGAAACCCGCAGGCCCAGACCCCATTCCCAGATGCCAGCCGAGGCCCCCAGGACTCTAACTTGCCCCCAGGGAGAGCCACCACCTGAAGCACAGGACTCCAATGTAGTTCTGCCACCTTCTTTCACCACGGAGCCACTGAGTCCCCAAGAGGAATACTGACTGGCTGAAGGCCACACAGAGCCAGGATCCCGGGACCTCGGGGGCAGTGAGCCCTATAGAGGGCTCTCCCAACTCCTGGCTCACTGTGGTCCCACTGGGACATCTTCCCCTTCTTGTCCCTCAGGGCAATGCCTCAGTGTTCTTCTTCATACCCCCATAGAGAAGAAGAGAGGTATGAAGCGACTTGTTCGAGGTCAGGCAAGTGAAAGAAGTAAGGCTTGGAGGGGGCGCCACAGTCTCCTGTCTCTCATCTTGCTGAGCCTCTGGGTCTCAGCCTGCCTGTGGACCCCAGAGAAACCAGGGGCGATGGGAGACTGTGCTGACATCGTTGAAATAGTCAGGGAGGCCCGGCCTACAGTTCTAGCTCTGCCACTCGCCAGCTGTGTGACTTCTGGCAAGTTGCTTAAGGTCTCTGGGCCTGGACTCCCTCCTCTGTAAAGCATGGGTGGTAAGATAAACCTCGAAGGCTGGGGCAAAGGGTCCATGAGATCGCACATACTAGCACTTGGCAGCATCTGTTCTGGGGACTGTTACTGTGGATTCAAAGATTCCCTTCCAAGAGGAGCAGAAGCACATTAAAAGCAAAGGTGAAAGAGGCAATAGGGACTCCGGGACCCCAGACTGCCACACAAGTTGGAGCAGTTTCCTCAGTAAGTAAATAGCTGGCCATACAATGACAAGCATGGTGTTAGGGAATAGTGTGCCCACAGAACGTGCCTTCAGCATTAAGATGCCCCAGCCTTGCTTTAATGGCCGGCCTGAAACAGCACACGGAGTGGAGACCTGCGTTTTCACCTTGCACGTGGTCACGTTAGCTATAGTTCTTCTTCTTTTTATAATCCCCACCTGAGGATATGTTTACTGACTTTTAGAAAAATGAGGGAGAAAGAGAGGAGAGAGAGGAGAGAGAGAGAGCAAAATGTGAGAAACATCAGTTGGTTGCCTCTCATATGTGCCCTGACCGGGAATCAAACCCGCAATCTTGGTGGTGCACAAGATGACATTCCAACCAACTGAGCCACCTGGCCACGGCTATAACTTCCTTTTAAAAAAGGTTTAGAACTGGTCTAAGTACTTTACATGTATGGACTCGTTTAATTCCCCACCATTGCATAAGGTCAGCTCAGTATAACCCCATTGTATTGATGAGAAAGCTGAGGCACAGAGAGGGTCAGGAACTTACCGGAGGCTATAGGCTATATGTAAATGGTGGGGCAAGAATTCAGACTCAGGTGGTCTGGGAGCAGAGCCAAACTCTGAAACTTAATGCTATAAACTGTGTCTTACCTTAGACAATAATTGCATTCCCTTTCTATGTCTCAGCTTTCATATCTATAAAATGGGGCCCTTTGACCAGAAGTTCCATGTCGAAGCCTCCTTCCAGGCCCTAAGCCTCTGAAGATGTGGACTCTGGTGTGACTTTTCTGACTGCTCTGCCCTCCCCCGCCCTCGCCCCACCTCCAGCACCTGCACCCTATTCGCTTTCCTGGGGTGTACTTCCCGGTCTACATAAGCCCCTGAGCACGCGCACTGAGGCCTGGCCTGGCTGTGGTAGGACACTGTGCTCAGCGTTGTGTGGTGTGCAAAGCCCGAGGTTTGGCAAACATTTTCTGTTAAGGGCTGAAGAGCAAATATTTTAGATTTTGAGATCGAGCCTTATGCTCTCTGTGCCACTGCATCAGGACAACACCCACAAACAATACACAACTCCATGAGCGTGGCCATGTTCTCACAACTTTTCTTACAAAAACAGGCAGTGGACAGAGTTTGGCCCAAAATGGACATCACCGGGTCTCTGCTCCTCAGAGCCACAGAGAGCAGCAGAGGAAACAAATGGTGTGTAGCTAACCCAAGACATGGCAGGATTTGCTAAGTCTGTTTGCAGAGACGCAGAACTCTTCAGAAGAGAGGAGGTGGATTCCGCCTCGGGGGATGTGGACAAGGCTTTATGGATGGGCACTGGAGCTTGGTCTTGGAGTGATGAGCAGAATTTCCACCAGCACAAGTGGGGGCGCAAAGCCAGGGCATGCGGTGTTCTGGGAATGGGCCACTGGAGGGTCAGGATGGGGCGGACCTGGGCCTCAGACAATGAAGACTGAGTTCTGTGCTTTTCTCATGCCCCAGAGAAGGGTGAACTACAGGGTCTTTTCTTCTTGTAATTCAACAAATGTTTTGAATGCCTACTATGCGCTAGGCATAGTTGTAGGCGTAAGAGGATACACAACATCCGTAACTTGCTTTTTTATTGCATTGTCAACATCTGCAAAGAGATTTAGGAGCTATGACTTTATCTTGTCCTCATAAGCACAAGGAGATTGAACGAGTTGCCAAAGTTATATCTCTAATTAATAGCAGCTGCTCATATTCCAGAGACAAACCACTGTACTGAGCAACAGATTCTTATTTCTAGCTGCTTAATGAGTATCTCCACTGAGATGTCTGGAAGACTCACCCTGTTCTTCTCCCTGTACTGGTTTCCTAGGGCTGCTGTAACACAGTGGATCAAACGACAGAAATTTATTGCTCTGGAGGCCAGAAGTCAGAGATGGGGGTGTTGGCAGGGCTGCTTCCTTCAGAGGGCTGTAGAAAGGAGGCCTGCTCCCTTCCCCTCGCTCCTGCGTTCACCCCACACGGCATCCTCCTCGTGTCTGTGTCTGTGTTGAAATCTGCTCCCCTTCCTTTCAAGGACACTAGTCATGGCGGATTAGGGCCCTCCCTAATGACCTCATTTTAATTTGATTATCTCTGTAAAGACCCTATTTCCAAAGTAAGGTCACATTTTGAGGTACCAGGGGTTACAACTTTTTTGAGGACACAATTCAACCCATAAAGCCTCCCCAACCCCCCTCCCCTCTGCCCCATACTTCATCGCTGATTGAATGGAGCCTCCATTTCCCAGGTCCCTCATCTCCAGGCCAGTCCTGGCCCAGAACTGCCCGGACCACGCGAGGCTGGATGCCCCAAGTCCCTCAAAGATGGCTGGCTGCTGAGGACATTGCACAGGATCTACTGCATTAACCTCTGAGAGGTGGTGGGGGAGGGCCGGGCTGTAGGAGCCAGGGGGCTGCTGGAGGATGTGCGACAAATGCCTGAACCAGTGGCACTTGGGATGTCAACTCGAGCAACGAGGACGTTAGAGAAACACTGTGGCAGGCCATGGAGTTAGCAGTTAGGCAGTGACCAGCAGCACAGAGGGAAAAGGGCCTGAGTCGGGAAGCTGTGGTGGGGATGGAAAGGAGGTAGTGGGGACAGCAAACATTTGGGAACAGGGTGGCGTGGACAGGAGTACAGGTCGTGTGGGGCGGGGCGGGGAGGGATCAGGCCTGGGTAAAGGGTGATAGGTCCGAGAGGCCCAGAGGGCGAGTATCGGCTCCTTGGGGAAATGAGGCTGCTTTAGACAGAAGCACAAAGCTCGGTAGATGCCTAAGTCCAGAGCTCAGGAGAGAGGCGAGGACTATAAGCAAGTTTTCAGAGACCTGAGTGGATTAGATTCCCTTAAGAAAGCAAGCAGTAAAAGCAGAGGCTCAGCAAGAACCTGGTCACTGACCAACCCCTGGAAAAAAACTGTTTCGAGAGAGTTGAGGGAGAGAAGTGAGAATAAGGAGGCCGAGCGAGCATGAGGAGTTTGAGAAGGGCCCACGAGGCAGGCAGAGAACCAGGAGAGAAAGGGGCTCCTGGGACCAGGGCGGTGAGAGAAGGTCAGCGCCGGCGGAGGCTGTGGGCAACTGCTCCTTAGCACGAGCAAACCGTGACACGAGCTGGCTGCGCTCCGGTCGGAAGGAGACTGCAAACACACCTCTCTCATCTTTTAACTGTTTATTGTATAATATAAAACTACAAAAGTAAGACTGCTCATTTCCATGTACATTTAATCTGTCCAATTGTTTAGATTACAGCCCAAACCTACATGTGAATACAGCCACCTGGGTTCCGATGTAACGTCTGTAATATTGCATAGAAAAGGCACAGCTCTCAGGTCTGTGGGGGAAAGGTTACACCTCCATTTTAGACAAAATCTCTCCTCAAAATCCATGCACCAAACACGTCACTATATACATCTTTCCCAAAATCTCAGTTGTTTGCTTGTATGGACTGCACTTGTCTTCCAAACCTGTTATCCCCAAAGGATGTCCAAAATTTGTACTGGCTTTGTCTGCAACAGTACTTGGTCCTGCCTCGCTGTCAGGAACCACTCGGACTCATTCTCAGAAGCCCCAGAAACAAATGCACACAAGCAGGACCCATGCCCCTCGCTGTCCCCTCTCTGTCATCGGCAGTTAGGGAAATTAACCATTTGCAGCCAGAACAGGTTAAATATGCTCTTTTCAGTATTTTCGTAAAACGTATAAAGGCCCAATTTGTAACAGCAAGGTTTTGAAATTAAGACTATTTATACAGAGGGTATCAATTGTTGCATAAAGACGACTTTTTTTTTAACATCTGTCATTTAAGAAGGCTGCCCTGCAGTATTCATAATTCATTGTTTACCACAAAGGTAGTTAATAAATTTAAGCTTTAAAAATGATCCGTAAGTTGATACTTTGGCTCTTCAGAGCTTATTTATGTCAGACATTTTCCCTGACTGACCTTGGGGCAGCCGGGGCACTCCAAGGGGCTATGGCAATAGAAAGCTTGATTGATCAAGACACTGGAGGTGGAGCGGAGGCTCTGGGCTGGTCCCACCTTTTGGTGTGAACAGGGTGTCCGTGTGGTGGCCCCTTCTGTCATAAAGAGAAAGTGCTACTAAAAAAACATTTAAAAATATCACCCCTTTGATGCTTGATTTTCTTAAAAATTTGGAGGTATTAAAACATCCCTCATCCATACCTTTTGCATATTTCAAATAGACCCATGTTCGAGAAGAGAGTGAAAATGAACGTGGACTGTGCATACGATGAGAAGACCCAGGGGTCTGGCTCAGACCCCCTTTTAATACAGATTGACATTCCTACAAGAGAATACATTCCTACCGTACATTCTGCACATGTTACGATCCAGATGTTGTTAGAGCTCCACAGTAAAATAAATATATTTACACAGAAAAAAGGAATAAATAACTTATGAAAAAATCACTTCAAATTCAAAGCTCTTATTATTCTGCTCTCATCTTGTCACTTCATTGCACATCACTGTCAATGACTGTCCTCTCCCTGCCCCAGCCGGCATGTCCTTCTCATAAAGGCACCTCAAACCGACTGCCTGACTCTGAACGCCACATGACGTCCTTTGCAAAGGGGAAGGCACTGCTGCCAGGTGGCATCTGGAAGCACGTCCCGCACTCAGACTGGGGCGTGGAGATCACACAGAGGCTCACATTCTTCCCTGCGGGGACACCTTTTGCAAAAGTAAGACACAAAGGTAACTTGAACACTTGATGGTTTTGTTCTTTTAAAAATGGGCTACTAATTTCATATGTCTTCCTCAGAAGGCCTTGAATGTCAAGAGTTTACGGCAAGGGTGCCCGCAGTTAACACGCATTTGCCTGCTGTTGGTTTTTTGGTTGTTGCTGTTGTTTTGATTCTGAAGCCCAGCCTCACACACACGAGCGGGTCAGAGAACCGCGTCTGGGCAGCACTTCACTGCGCTCATTTGAACGGTTGCCCAACATATGGGATTTGTTTAAACACACGATTTGCTAATCCAACTAAAGTACAGTTGTTCTAAGTTCCTGTAAATCAGTTTTTAACAATGGCAAATCAACCGCTTCGCCCTGTTATTGTTCGGAATAATCAACACTATTGTGTATGTATGCGTGTGTGTAAGTGTGCAGCAAGTACTGAGTGTGCCAGGTCTTCCAGTTGTCAGAAACGCGGCATCTGGGCTGACTTGTTCTCCCCAGAAAAAGGAAGCCCTTATCGTGGACAGGCACAGTGACGCTGGAAGCATCTATGACCCTCACCTCAACCATGCGTGTGGTCCCTGGTCCCACCACAGGAGATGACACATCTGTAGCAGTTAAGAGGTGTTCTGGTGGGCGTGGCTTGTAGGAGGACAAGAGCAATTTGATCTGTTTCTTACTGTGCTATGGAGTTGATAATTAGCCTTGGGGGGGGGGGGCGATAAATTAGAAAGTGGAAAGATTTAATCATACCATACATGACAAATGTTTTGATTAGATGAGCAGTTCCTTCATCACAAATGTATTTGTTTTGCCATGTGCATTATAAAAATAAAACTATCTATGGCTTGTTTAAAGTGCCATTTTATAAAGCTGTCTTTTTTAATTGGCCAGAAAGACTCAATTTTATCCATGGCAAGAAGTGAGCAGAATTGGTGACTGAATATTGACAAATGACTAACAACAAAGACAACAACAACACAAATCCCATAATTTAAAAATTCTTAAATAAATATAAAAGTTATTCCTAAAGAAGCCATCTGCATTTCAACAATATAGGATGTAACCAGCGAAAGTACCATTGGAAGAAAGAAAAAACTGAAAGAAAAAGGCCATAAACAATTTCAGCAACAAGCATGATACATTACAAATGTTTTAAAATTAAATGTACACCGCTGGGAAGAAAAAGCTACTTCTCAAGTGTGTGTGTGTATGTGTGTGTGTGTGTGCACACTCAGGGGGTTGCTGGGGGCGGGGATGGCAAGGGGGAAGGAGGAGAAACATGCATAGAAAGTCTTGTCTGCATATTTGGGTAAAACAGCCTTGTAAAGTGTAGGTAGAGCAGCTGACCAAGAAAGCAACCAGACTGGAAGCTGTGACATAATGGGACCAACTCCAGGTTCAAGAGCCAAGGCGGTTTCAAGAGTGCGTCCCAGGCTCGGCCGAGGTGAGCCGAGCTCACTGTGGTAATCACGAAGGTAACATTTTCAGCACTTAGCAACGGAGGGAATGAAAGCTCTAGGGAAGGGAAGCTGGAAAAGACAATGGGCAACATGATGGATGCCTTCTGGGGGGATTTCTTTCTTTTTTTTTTTTTCCCTTAGGAGCCCTAAGCATTGCAATAGGGTTTAGTTCCATGAAGAGGTTGGTTACTTTTCATAAAATTTTGTTCACATGTAAAATTTGAGGTCATCATAAAAATTATGCCAAAAAGGAAAGATTTGGGTTTTTGTTTAAAAAAAATAAAAACAATTAAAAGCACAAACTTGGCATAAATACAGTGACTATTGGGTAGTTTTCCCCTCAAGAGAGGGAGCTAAAAGAGAACCATCACTTAGACCCCGAGCTCCAAGGCCACCTCCCGCCAACTGCTTAATGCAAGTTTGATGAGCAGACGTGGCTCTGGCTTTGAAGGTCACAGTGCTGGCGGGTGTTCGTGCCAGGAGGTCGGTGCCTGTGAAATTTGGGTGTGATATTGCCTGGCCCTTTCTTAAAGCGCTGTGTGTGTATGGGTGTGGGTGGGTGTCTGCATTTGGGGACATCAACTGCGGATTGATTTGATACAATTTTCTCTTTGCACCAAACACATATAAAACATTACAACGCTATAAAAGTACAAGTGCAACTTGTACATCTGAAGTTTGCAGGAACTATGTGAGCAAATCCTATCAAAATAGCTATCTCATATGTATAAACAGCATTTGTTTTTTTTAGAAAAACAATATCATAAACTGCAGAATCTGTACAAAAATATAAAATAAATTTGGGCAGCAGTTTCTAAACAGCCATGTAAATGCAACACTTACGAGGAGTTAATGCCTCTAAAAAGGCTGAATTGCCAAGTCAACCTATACAGGGCGAAAATGCCAGAAAAGGTATTGAGATTATCTAAATAATATATATATACTTTTTCTTTTTTTACCTCTTGCAATAAAACTTATAGAAAAAATAGACAAATATGCACATGCAATTTACAGCTTTTCCAACTTATTCCTTGTGCTTCACTTGAACTGTTTTTGCCACTCGATATCGCAACATTGTCTGCAAAGGTGTTCTTTCCTATTCCAGGGTAGCAGGTCTCTGAGGAGCCACTCACAAAAGCATACTGAAAGTGGTCATCCTTGGATGAAGGCACTCCAACTCTGCTAAAAGCAAAAACTAGTGTGATCCTTTTGTAAAATGTTCTTCTCTGAAAAAGGCAAGCAAGGGTGCATGCACAGTGCGGAGAGAGAGCTGTCAGGGCGCGGGGACACTCGCAGGGCCTGGCTGGGTACAGTCACGGGGTCCCTGGGACTTAGGACCCAACGAGCACCTCCATGATGTGGTCCAGCTCTGTGAGGTCCATTTTGAAAGGCTGGCTCGGGGCGACAGGCTGGCTGCTGTAAGGGGCGAGAGTCTTGAGGAGGTCGTCCGCTGACACGGGGGCCATTTTCGAGGCTGTCCCCGACGCGGAGGTGCAGGGGTCAAAATCATACATTGACGTGTCAATGTCAGCAAACAGGATGTCGTCCAGGGTCAGGTCCGTCAGAAATCCCGTGGACGTGGTGATTTCAAAATTCCCAGGCAGAGAGTCCATCAGTTTCGGGTCGTCGGGGCGGCCCTCTTGAAGCCCCTCGGGTTTCAGGGCGCTGGCGAGTCCGGCGCCCCCTTTTGAGCCGTCAGTCGCTGCCACGGCGACCTCTGTGGAGGTAGATGTGGGACAGAGCTCCTCGATCTCGTCCAAGGCCGAGGAGAAGCTGTCCTTTGCCGGCGGGAGAGCTGGAGGTGAGAGTCTGGTAGGAGCCATGAGTGGCACAGCCGGAGAAGTGCAAAAAGTGTCGTCGTCGTCCTCGAGCAGCGAGGCCGGGGTGAGGCAGGCCTCCAGGGGTGTAGTGCTTCCGAGGTCACCAGGGTGAGCGGGCGGGGCCGCGGAGTGGCTGAGCGCGGGCGGGGCCTCTCGGCAGCTGTCACTCAGCGAGTCGCTGGGCTGGGAGGAGGGGGCGAACGCAGGCCTCAGGCTGCCCTCCTGTTTGAGCTCCTCCTGGATACGCCGCAACATGTTGTTGATTAAGACGGTCTTTTGCAAGCTGGGCTCTGTGAGGGGCCTGTGGTTGTAGAGTTTCATAAGGGAAATGTTGAAGATAGTCTGGCGCTGTAAGGTGTAAGACACCTTGGATGGACCGTCAGAGGGAGACAAGATTTTGCCTTCCAGCCCATCTTCATGCTCATCAAACTTCCGTTTTCCTCCTTTACCCAACATATATCTGCAAAGGAGAAAGGAAGGAAATGGAATTAATCATAGGAAAACTCACTGCTACCATAAAAAAGATGCTGAGTCAGAGATCAGAACGTGCATTTCTGATAGTGCCTTGCCCCGGCTTTGTTAGAACAGTTGAATTAATTGGGGGAAGACTTTTTAGAATGAGAATTGGGAAATCTACTTTTGTATGCCTGTGGAACAGTTTTTATCACTATGTAGTCTGGTGAATGTATTTCTTGGGAAATATGTACCACCCAGACCAGTTAAATGTTACCATGGTAACGGTAATTTTGACTTTCTCAGCTCCTGCACTTGCCTAACACTACCATACAGGTTCAATTTCCCTCCCCCAAACAGATTTATTTTTAAAGCCCAAGAAAACACTTACAATGCTATGACCTAGACAGATAAAGGTGTCATAGGTTACAGCCTGAACACACCTTGAATGATTAAAAGAACCAACTTGTAGAAAAGGGAACATGTACAATTTTGGTAGAACGGTGTGTGCTTTCTTTTTATTTTTTTTAAAGATTTTATTTATTTATTTTTAGAGAGGGAAGAGAGAGAGAAAGAGAGAGAGAGAGAAACATCAATGTGTGGTTGCTGGGGATCATGGCCTGCAACCCAAGCATATGCCCTGAGTGGGAATCGAACCTGTGACACTTTGGTTTGCAGCCCGCGCTCAATCCACTGAGCTACGCCAGCCAGGGGTGTGTGCTTTCAAAATGCCTTTTCCTTCCCCATTATGCAGAGATCCTTTCTGTCTGTTTGCGGACACGTGGCGAAGAACTTGGCCTGTGTTAAATGACCACCGTGACTGAGCTGCCACCACTTTTTAGTCTCGAATCAAGTGGAGGAATGTGGATTTCCCAGCCCATGTTTTTCCTCAATTTCACTGCATACGGATATGTCTGAATGCAACTGGACTAATTGGAAAATAATTTCCTCTGATTATAAACATTGCTGTTTGGGTACGTGAGACATTTTATAATGAAATACTCACTGTGCCTTCAGAGAGATATATGCATTTCAAAGAAACGACAATCTCATATCTCAGCCCTTGAGCATTTGGGAATGGGTTGGATTTTCACTCCCACCCTACAGTGGCCTGGTGCTCACAGCCTAGGCTGAGGCGCCTCCTCCCCAGCCCTGCCCCTGGTGAAGACACCCTTGGCTGGCCACACCTTCTGGACTGCGGTCCTTTCTCTCAGAACTTCCACCATCTAAACAGAATGATCGCAAGTCTATTAGCTGTTGCCTCAAAGACCTTAATTTCTAACTACTTAATCCAGAAAGTTGTCCTCATGTCATCTAGGCGAGGACATGTGGCTCTAATGAGGCCAAGCCCACACTTGCTCTCTCACCCTCTCTACAACACTCACCCAGGGGTGGTGGAACCCCTCCCCTCAATGCCACTCTTTCCGACAGTTTCATGTGCAAGGGCTTTGTAGTTATTCCATTTTTCTTCTAAAGGGGACTTGCCTTTTACTGAGTTGTCTCAGCTGATTTTGATGGCACCTCATTCAATCCTTTATTAACTCATTCCACATCTATGCTGTCTTGGGCACTGTGCCAGGCAGTGGGAAGTCCCTCGGAGGAATAAAGCCTGGTCTTCAGGGGACTCAATAATTTCTCCTACACCTCATTATCATTTTGAATTATGAGTCTCATCCTAAAGGAATAAGGGGAGCCATAATAAAACTTCACAGAAACCCCTTCCAACACTCTGTTAAAGAAGACCACGCTGCCCCTTGGGGCAGACGGGTATTCAGGTGGTCACAGAGCCTGGCGTATGAGTCTTGTCTGGGACAACTGCATTCATGTGCCTCAGTCTTCAGGAGAGAAATATGAAGGCAGCGACAATGCATCAGTGTCAGAATCAGCTCAAGAACTTGCTAATGCTCAAAAAAATGTGGAGTCACTTGTATGAAACACTCTCATTTTATAAACCTTATGAAAATGGCTGTCAATCACTAGAACCAAAGGCCAGTCCCATAATTAACTGTTCCCTAAGGCAAGGAAGGTATGATAGTAACAACTTCCTTATCTAATACTTCACATGACAGAAACATTTCCTACTGTTTAGTGCTAAAAGTCTAATTTATATATACACTTTGCATAGAACATTTCCTATTAAAGTATCTGTGCTCATTTAAACCTGGGTGTGAATTAGAGAGGAAGTGATTTCATTTCACATTACAAAACACTTTCTACTTTATGCATTCAGAAGTGTTACTGGACAACTGTGTTTTGAAACAGATAACTATGCACAATTATATTATTTGTATTTGATTACGATTTGAGCATCTAAATACTCACTTCCAGAAAAATTCTGCTTTTGCCAAAAGCTTTCTAAGTGTATTTAATTCTCAAATAAAGCTGTTAGATGATCTATGTTATGTATTTTAATGTGAACGGACTGCAGACATCTAAACATGTACAACAGGGCGCACAAACGTATACACAGGGCAGAGAGATGCCTGGCCTCTCTGACTCCATCTTGCCCAAGCCTGCTTTGTTCCCCTGGCCTTCAGGCTAATAGCTTCTGCTTAGTCTTGCATGTAGACATGCTCATTGTGGAGGAATTGTGCTTGAGGCTTGGGTTTTACAAAAACAGCCCCTTGCTAGATTGCGCTTCTCCCAAGGAGATAAAGGCAGTACATACAGTTTATCAAAGATTTGCAGGAACCTCCTGACTGGACTCAGATTAACAAGGGTCAATGAACCAAGCACAACCTTCCTCCAACCCCTGCTGGCACTCAGGTGTGGGAGGTGCTCAGTCACCTCTGGCCCCTCCTACTTCCCCTTCCCTTGGCATAAAAAATGTCTGAACTCCGTACTTTCTTATGATGGATTTGAAGCACTGCTAGGTCTCCCATCTTTCTTGGTTGGCTCCTTCTCAATCAGTAAACTTTCCGTATTCCAAACTCTGAGGTTTGAGTTTTGGCCTTTGGAAGCACTGGGCACAAGGACTTTGGACCCATAACACACACAAGCTCCAAAATAGCGTTTCTCAAAGTGTGGTCTCTAGATGGTGCCAGTCTGGAAACTGCTACCGGTCCATGACAGGGTAGGGAGAGGTACTGAGTGACTGTATATCTGTAAATCCAATAGAAAACAGGGATTCTATTTTTACATCTGTGTACTATTTATTTCATTCCTCTAGCAATTATTTTCATTGTGTTTTCCTAAAGTATTAGTCCCTGAAAGAGGAATAAATCAACCAAGGTGGTTCTTCATCACAGTAAGTTCTAGAAACACTGTCCTAAAATGTAAGTCAGATATACAACGAAAGACAAATTGGTACGCTTACAGCCACATTGCATTTTATTTACTGGCATTCTCGAAGAAAGGGAACACTGAGGTGAGAGTGTGGGCTTTTCTTTTGCTTTTGGTCATTGATACAGAACTGTCTTTTAAAGACTTGTTGCCAGAATAAATAACAGGATTTTCTCAATAACTCACATTTCTCTAGAAATAATCACTGAATCTGTGGAACTCAAATATTTACAAAGCATGCAGTACTGTATGCATTTAGAAGAATTCCCCCACTTGAAGATCTGCAGAGATACTTTTAAAGAGCTTTCAATATGAGAAGCACCTAATTTCCAATCAGAATGATCCAGCTGGTCACAGCTGTGTGATAACCCTGATGATTTGGGAAAAGCCTGATCAGACACTTGCAATGCTGTCTGCACAAGGAAGGAGGGGGGCCTGCGTAAGCAGAATGTGTGAGCAGGAACAGATAGACGAATCGAGTCTTGGATGCGTTTCAGACATGTGAATGAGGACCCGTGGCAGAGCACGTCTCCAGCCGGGCTTGCCTTCAGTTCTCTATTTCTTTTTATGAGGCGAAACGAGCTCTGCATACCCAGTAAGATTGCAAAATACACACAATCCTGATTTTTAACCCTAATCCAATCTAAATTCTTATAGGAAGGAATAAAATGAAATATAATACAATCCAGTTCACATTTTTACTTAAAAATGAAAATTAACTTAAAAAAAGTTAAAGTGTGCCCAAAGTTGGCTTAAGACTTTACAATCAAGTCTTCCCACTGACTGTTTTCAGAAGAGGCCTCCAAATCCTAGAAGCAGATGGAGAGTGAGAAGAACTCACTCTCCACCTTCTTGGAGCAGGGCACAATTCAAACAAGAAAATACAAGCTTCTCAAGAACCCGAGGGCAAGAAGCCAGACGGTGTGGTGTCTCGGGGCCTGGAGCTGGGCAGGCCAAGGCCAGAGTGGCCAGCTCCTCAGAAGCCTCTTTCCTCAGGCACTCTAATGAAGTAACAACAGCTCTGTAAGCAGGCTGTTGGGGAGGCACGTGACCTATCAAACGGCAGGCCTCACCCGGGGCAGCTAGAAGATGAAGCAGTAGCTGGAGCTCATTAAGGGCTTCCAGGTAGCAGGAGAGGGGGGGTGGTGCTCTGCTGTTCCTGTTTAAAAGGCCCCATGGCCTGGAGTTCACCAAAAGGAGGCACTTGTGACAAGCGAGGTTTCTGAGCCACCCTGAGGTGTGACACCCACTTTGTCTCCTCCTCAATTTGTGAGGATCCAAGCCCAAAGCTGTGTTTTCTGCCCAATCTTTCAAAGACCGAAAAGGGACCCTGAGTTTCAGGGCTGGTTAGAGACGCCCAAGTGGAGGAGGAAGGTGGGTGCTCCCTCTCTTTTCTGCCCACAGGAAGGGACCTAAAACTAACCACAGACTCCCTTCTATCAACTGTTCAGTGGCTCTTAATAAAAGGTTTCAGATAAAACACCCTCCCTTCTCCAATACATTTGTTAGAAACGAACTCCTAGCATTCCAATTTTCTTAACAATTTTTAGGAACTATGAACCACAGCAAAGTTTTGAAAATAAAAAACAAAACTCACAGGAAGCAATGTAAATGAAAACTTCTTTTCCAGAGTTTTCCATGAAGTTTAATACTGAAAAAATTTCTACATACCAAACCTAGCTTTCAATTGTGCAGCTTTCATTAAGGAGGACCCAGCTGCCCTCA